AGGGGTCAAGTTTTAGATTTCGGGATGTAGGCCAGGCTGGCAATTGGCGGCAACATCGGGCAACTGTTGTCTGTGCAGACTATGCGCAAGAACGACGCATTTATCATTGTTGTTTCGCGCTACCTAAGTGCCGAAGGCGCTTGTCCTGCTACGGTGTGTACATGCACAAATATGTACACGCATGATCACGCATGCATACGGACATATACGGACGAAACCATACATACTTACTTAGATACACACACACAAACATGCATACATACATGCATTCATACATACATACAGACATGCATACATACATACATACATACATACATACATACATACATACATACATACAGTCATACAGTCATACATACATACATTAGGTAGCAAACAAGGCTGTAGAACTCCCTTGGCAATTGCTGCAGTCAGGAACAAATCTCTCTCCTCTCGTAAGTCGCAACTGCCGTCCTATGAGACTTCTCCTTCTCGCATCAACACGCGACAGCAAGCCGCAAGCCGAAACGCGCGAACGTTGCTCTGACCCTTCTGAGCCGTCCAAGGCTGCCGTGCGTCGGATTTCCAGTCGTTGTGGATAGCCGCGTGGTAGAGCTCCCTTTCATGCGGCACCATCCTCGTTAGGCGATGCTGGCACGCTCTGAGTCTGACAAAGCAGAGGACAACTGTTCTAGAGCATGTGAGGAAATCACATGAAGTAACTGAATTCAGTCGCCGCCAATGTTGAAATAGTCGAAGATGTTCGGACAACATGTGGATCGACGGTAGTTATTCAGCAGTCTGAGCAGTTTGGAAGGGCTACGTACAAAATCGGACAAGACCTCGTGTACGAAGCCAGGTGAGTAATCTCTATGCTCGAAACAGGACAACCTCTGTCCCAGGAGCCATTGTGGCTGCTTGGCAGGTGGTCCCATGGCTGACAAAGGCGCAAAGACTCAGACCCGTCTCTTGCAGCTAGTGACCGCTAACTAATGCTGCAGCTTCGATATATATTTCTCGCAGCGCAACGACTTGGAGCTGGTCGCAGAGATGCTTTCGCTCGGCTGCTCCCTACAGGCCGACTCCATGGCGAAGTTGAGACTGACCGGCGGGCGGCACAGCTTGGCAGTCTCGCTGCAAAACCAAGCATGGTTTTGGCTAGCACCCGTTGCTGCTGTGCCATCGAAATAAGGTGCCGGCATTAATCGTGGCAGACGTACCATCCAAGTTGTGGAGGGCAGAGCAAAAAGACCTCACGCTGTATCCGAAGGCTCTGCAGCGAGTAAGTAAGGCTTTCCAGCACTTCGGGCAAGAGGCCCCTGCCAGATTGCCAACGACATACAAAGCATGCTCGGGGCGCCATCAACGCAAGAAACTGTCTTTGCCAAAGCCAACGACAACCTCTAGGCTTCCCAACGTGACATGGCGAACCTGGAATCGAAATTCCTTGTGCATAGCACAAGGTGTCAACTCGAGCTCCGAACTCCTTCGGCTTCGGCTACGGAATGCTAGGGGGTTTATGGCCCGGAAGTCTTCGTCTTAGCGATGCGAGGCATGGCTGCTTCACTGCTCTTGGGAGCCATGGCGAGTCCCCGGCGAGACGAGGAGCGAAAGCTCCAGCATGACTCGCTCGACAGAATGGGGAAGCATCTTCACATAGGCCTGCGGATTTGGTGTCCGTGTCTTAGGAGAGCTTCTGTTCATCGTGGCACAACACAAATTAGCTTCACAATGCACGCACCTCTGCATGTACATGTGCATCCCGATCTTGTGTCAACAGCAACGGGTAGTGTCGAAACTGCTGTCGTGTCAAGCGTGCATACCGAAGATCCGAATCACCACTTGATGAGGACACATCAAGCTCTCGTAACTTCAACCTAGGAGGAAACGTCAATTGGTCAGAAAAGCTATGCAAACAATGCAAGGCAGGCCGTCTTCAGAACGCTGGTTGCGAGGGGCCCGGTCACCTGCGATGCTTGGCTTTCGAGTTCGGATTTTGGCCACAGCAGCTTCGAGGAGTGCAGCTTTGGAGACAACATCGTATACAGGGTTCCGTAGTCCCCCTTGCAGCTGAAATTGCTACACACAGATCGCAAGCTCCTGGAAATCACAGCAAAAATCCAAACACTGCCGTCTCCGCACCTGTCCCATCAGGTGGAGCTCTCGCATGGAGTTTCGCCTCAGGGGCTTTGATCCTGATGTGGCTTAGGGTAATGGCATCTTAGAGCCTACCTGGGAGCGACCTTCGCCGTCGCACGGACTTGCACAGTCACAGGGAATGTTGGCGTGCGATGGGCATTCTGAGATCGTGAACACGACAGGACTCTCAACAAGGACTTCTTCTTCTTCTTCCAGGATCCTATATGCAAGCATAAAGCACCATTTGTATGAGGTTCTAATGATTAGAGTGGCTCTTAAGCATGGCTGTGCTCAGACAAGGATTACCCTCCTCGCCCATGGCGAGCCGAACAAACTAAGGGGACCGCCATTTCGTTTGCTCCAAGTCTTGGACCTTTGCGAAACACTTCCGGAGCGAGCATCTGACTGTAGTGTCATGAGAGTGGAATATGAACTGCATGCTACGATGTCCTTCTGTTGTTACGGATAATGAATAGCAAGAAGAAAACCGCCTGTCCAATAACTAAGAATTCCTGCGCAAGGAGCACGTCATGTCGGTGTGGTCCTAACTCTCAGATACGGGCTTTGGTCATCCACTGGATGCCGAAGATCAGCGAGCAAAGCTGGGCAAACCTGCAGCCAGGAATTCAATACAGAGCCGATGTGCATCCTGCCCGGACATCTCTCACAAGTTTGTGCTAGTGGAAGTAGCTGCATGTCCACCAAGTCCCTTGAGACGGCGGGCTTCTGCAAGAAAATTCCTTCTACTACGAGTACACATGTCAACACTATCAGGCGACCTCTCAAACGCCCTCAACCGCTTTCACTGAACTAAACAATCCTTGCCTTGTATTCGCTTCTCGGTACTTGCCTCCTCCCCAAACGAAAGCGCACCTGAACCGTATTAAGCAGCCGATAACCCGAAATCCGGCTGGGGGCCAAACCATGGTTGCCGATCGAAGCGGGCTACAAGCTGCGCAGACAAGGGCTCTCGAACCTCGCGGGGCTGCTGACCAGTGGTTACTTAGCACGATCTTTCAAAAACACACAGCGGCGATCTTGCAGCTTGAGCTGTCGCACTTCGCAACCCCCTTTGCCTATAGCTTTTCTCTCGGGTATACTGCTGTTTCAGCTGCCCTCCATCCTCAATACGCTCGTGCGCATCCTGATGCTGCTTTAGATACAACCTCAATGTACAAATCGCAATGTGTTGAGTATCTCATTGATGCTACTTGTGGCACAATGGTTACTTAGCCTTTGTTTTTGCTGCTGCTGTGTCCCATCATGACTCTTGCCAAGAACACTGCTAGTACTTTTAGCCCTCTCAAAGCAAAACCCTGTCGCGAGGACAGTTCGTCACAGCAAAGGAAGCCGACTTCGAGATCCACTGAGACCGGCCCATTCTACACCCAATGGAAGCAGACCCCAGAAATTCCCACGGCCCCGGTCTGGAAATCTTCACCTCATGGCTTTGGGGTCTCGGAGTCGGCGTGCCTTCTCTCTGCCATACATAGCAAGCAGCGACAGCCGCGCAGAGATGGGGATGACGTGATCCTGAAGGGTTATAAGGCATGGCCTCGCTTTAGAGAGACAGCAGCTTCGGGAAATCACTTGGTCCTCTGCTGTTGGAGCATGATGGGCGGATCTAAGGGTCCTTATCAAGCTTACTTTCGTCCCCGGAGACAAGGCTTCTACAATGCTCCGAAGCTTCAGTCCTCGGAAACGATCACGTCCTTGTGGTTGCGGTATTGTCGTTGCGAGACCTTCTTGCAGACATCCTTTGGCCCGTCCTTCACCGGTGCCCCGTGCAAGGCCAGGGTTTGAGGCTGCATTTCAGAGGGTATGTCGTAGGGCCCATAAGCACAAGACGATTCTTACATACACGCCAGCGGACGACATGTATGCGAAGCAAGCTGTACCTCTGCCCTCATCCTTCCCACCGCTACAGTGCAATCTTTCATGAAGGGTTTTCGCTCCAGCACAGGGCTTCTAGCCCCTGACTCTAGACCCTATGCCCGACCCCCTAGCCCTGGACCCCTGGCTTGGTGCTTTAGTTCGAAGCAGCTAGTCCTTGCAAAAGAATTCTGGGAGCTGATCGATGCGGTTGGCAACGATCCAAGCATCGTCGCGGCGCAGGCCGCCTGTTTCCTGGTGTGATCTCTAAAGCAGTTAATCGGTTGTAAGACTGCTCTCGCGCGAAATCAGCACAGGAGGCTTGCACAACAGTCCCATGCACTGCGCATGCTGGCATGCATGTAGATTCAGTATGTCGCGGCGCCAGATGTGCATAATGCAGCGCAGCTGCGGGCAAAACAAAACTCGTACAGTCGTGCAGCTCAGTCAGGTCTGCACGGTGAATCCGAAGAAGGCTAAGTCCTGTATCCTTTCGAAGCTCACACTAAACATTCATCCTCACTCTTATGATCGGTCTAGGAGCCGATATCTCGAAGTGCACCTGGAACCCAGCAATCCAAGCAAGTCCTGCGCAAACGCCTCACACAGCAAGCCGCCCATCCACTGCCTGGGTCTACGACTGGGTGGGTGAGGTGGTCCGATTTTGGGACATTGAATGCTGCTTCTGAAGCCCAGCTTAAAAAAGATATAGCGCAGTGCAATCGAGGTGTGGAGTGTGCGTTCGTGGGGCTTAGCCGCCTCGACTACAGCAACTTTACCCTGAACCTACCCCTCCCAAGAGACGATGTGAGAGCTGGAGATGACGTGGAAGCGAAGAACAGTTTCAGCTGTGTCGACTCATCACGCTTCCCTCCAAGCTTCCAGCGGGACTTCATACTTTGAGGCATCGATGACAACCTTTGCAAAGGCAGGGGACTCGAGACCTTCGAGGTCTTTTTCTGCTCGTGCTGAGATGCTGTCAAATTGCGAGCAACAGAATCCCTTGAGTCCTGAGTGGGATGCCAGCGCACCATCCGCCTCGCGCAAGGCTGCACGGCAGAGTGCCTGGGCATCCTCGGAAAATCACCGCCGCTGCGCTTGAAGAGCATACGCAACCAATTCCCTCGGGTCTGAAATGCAGATGTCCACACGATTTGCCAATGCAAGATTTAAGCCGACAGCCATGGCTGAACTGTGCAGATCAGACAGAGCTCTGAAGTGCAGGATGCGAGACGGAGGTGGCTGCAGCGACATCGAGTCTTCATGTTCGGTCCTGCGTTTCCCAGAGCGTCTCGGTGTCTGGGCTCGGGAGGTCCACGAGGGAAAGGAGCCCGGTGTCGGTGAGTTCGCCCTGCGAAATGCAGCGCGCCCAATACGCTAGGGAATATGCCGTCTTTACTTCGGCCGTCTTAGAACCTTGAGAATGGTTCAGGCGTTGTGCGGCTTCGAGGTTTGTCTCCCATGAATCCAATGATACCACTTGCCCAACTCTCATGAGCATGCCGGAGCACCATGACGCATGAAGTTCACTTGTCGTTTCAGAAGGGGGTGGGTCCGAAGATGTGTCAGGTCATTGACTGGAGCTCATCTCTGCCATCTTTTCCGCGCAGTTGACAGCTGCCGGAAGCCAGTCGCATGTGGTGCGACGCACAAATGAACAAGAACAGCTGGCAAGAGTTGAAAGACTTTTGTCGGATGTTCGAGGGCACCAAGTCCATAAGACCGATGTGGCGACAAGATGGGCAATTGGTGCTCGAAGATCGTGGAAACACTGTGAACTGCCAGACGCCCAGGCACTCTGCAGGATGTAGCATGGAAAAATCCCACCCTGTGGACAAGCTGCACCGGAGCCTCCAAGTCAGCGAGAGGCGAGAAGGCAACCTCCACTTGGAGATACCTTGGAAGCAGCTCGAAGCAGAGATCCCTTTAAGGCATCTGTTCAAATCGTAGCTTACTTGACAGGACGGAGCTACGAAGCAGCTAACCATGCGGTCTCTTCCGAGCCTGGGTTAGCAATTGCGAAAGGAAAGCAATCTGACAGGTTTGGGGAGCATTTACAGCAGAGTAACGAACAAGAACAGCAGCAACTAGCATACGCACATAATCATGGCCCCAACAGTTTCCGCCCGCCAAGGCACAGGGAAGGCCGGCAAAGGGCCGCCAACTCTTCTGCAGAGACTATTCCTGTCACGCTTTTCGCGCTATGCAGGATTCGCATGAAATCTCGTCCTTCAGAGAAAGGCACCCGCGCCGAGTCCCAGAAGTCTCCAAAAACAAGTCTCAATAGCAAGCCCCCACTGAATCCACTTCGGATCTTGGAGGTCCTAGGGTTCGACATCTGTGGATCGTCCGGTGCACCTGGCTCTTGTGGGCTTTCAAAGGTCAGGTAGGCCCTGTCGCTCGGGATCCCTATGATAGCCAGACTTCGGACTTCGGGAAAGCGATAACTGCCAGGCCAGGCGCAATCAAATTTCGATCACTCCTTCACACCTCTCCGAATGACACGATCAATCTCTCCTCCACTCCTGCAGCCAGGAAACGGCTTCCAAGGCACCGGCCACAGCGTCGATGCCCTGGCACAAGTGCGGCTGTAAATCCGTAATAAGGGTTGAGATCAACATTGGAAGAGCTCTGATCATCATCGTTGACGTCACCATCTGCTTTCTTCATTATCACTGTCAATCGGGGACGGGGGGTGCGCTGGATGGCATGTCGGGCAACGTAGGGTGTTCAAGGAAGTACGACCTCATCGATGAGTGCCTGCGTGGCAGCTGGATGGCCAACATGCGTGCTTCATGATACTGTGGTGTACATGTTCTTATGCTCTTAGACACTCTTGTATGCTCATGTGTGAGTTTTCGACTTTCCTTGACTATACTATATTCAGGAGATGTTCATGCCCCTACAACTTCATTACTACACATGTCTGCGTAGGTCTATGCCCTGTCGCAATTCCCCAGAAAACGATCTAGCACTGCATGTGCTCATCTTTTGCAGATTTGGCTGTGTCGGGATGTCTCTCATTTACAGTGTGACTCTTGGTCATGTCCAGGCCTCCACAGCCTCACCTTTGGCCGCCAATGGGGAGGGGCCCTGCAAAGAACCGCAGGGAAGAGGACGGTGCAGTGTTGAAATGTTCTTGGTACAGCTTACTTACTGGTGCTGGGTCCTAGGTACGATGTTGAGGCTCGAAGGTGTGCCCAGGTAAGCCCGCACCATGCACTGGTCTCTCATTCCTTTCGAAGCAGTGGGACTTTGACCCCAGCGATGGGAGGGTCTGTAGCAGCGCACAAAGGGCTGTGGATTTGTTTTATATGCTAAGCCAGGGTTTCAGCCAGGTCTTACTACTACATCAGACATCTGACACGGTATCGCAGTTCTCGTGCAGCTGACATGCGGCTCTTAGGGTTTCGAGGTGACAAAAATACAGTAGTAATGGTAACAATGAAACAAGACTCAAACAACAACAACAACAACGATAACACGAGTAGTGATGATGATGATGATGATGATGATGATATATATATGTATACATACATACATACATACATACATACATACATACATACTTACTTACTTACATACATAAATATATATATATATGTATATTTATTTATTTATATTTATTTATATTTATTTATTTGAAATTCTACTCCTAGATTGGATGCTAAGGCCAATGATAGGTTGGAGGCCTCGAGCTCAGAAGAGTCCGGTGAGGCCACGAGCTTCGCGGCCCAGGTTCCAAGGAGCTTCGCCAGCTCCTCTTTGAACAGGGTTCAGGGGTTTCGGTGTTTAGGGTCTGGGGGTTAGGGCTTAGGGGGTTCAAGGTTTAGGGCAGTTAGGGCTTCAGGGCTTGAGGAGATCCCCCTGGAGGGGCAGCTCGTTGGTGGACTTGACTTTAGGACCATTGGGTGACAGGGCTTTAGAGGTTTTCGCGCTTTGGGTTTTAGGGCCTTGGGATTTAGGCTCTGGCTTTAGGGAAGGAGTTTTGGCAGGGTCTGGTGGTGGGCAGAAATGGTGAAGGCCCCGGCGCAGATGCTTCGGGCTTGGCGCCTGGGCTAAGGAAGGTCATGCCCATGCGTGCTGGGGTTGGGGGGTTAAGGCACCCCAAACCTACATCCTGAAGGACACGGAGACAATCACTTCAAGATTGGTATCACATCATTGACCAATCACGCCTCCAAATCCTGTAAGGTGCATGTATGCCCTGGGCCTACGACTACGATTTGAGCACTCCTCAACTCATGCGGCTTTGAGTTGTAGGATCGATGCAGCTGTGGTCCGTCCGCAGAGGTTGGAGATTCAAACAATCTGCGTCCCATTCGTAACGAGTACCCTGGAGCCCGATAAAGGTCCAGGATTATCATAAAATGATATCCTTAACTCCACAAGTCCCAAACCACCCAAATTGCCAATCTCCTCAGGCATGGTCATGCGGGGTACGGCAAGGCCAGGAGTGTGAACCTTTTGCACAGGACCAGGGCAGTTTAGGCGGATCTCGAAAGACTTTGGAGACAAGATGAGGACCTTCAAGGTTTCACCGGGGGGTTTTCAGCATGCGGCTTTGAGGGCCTGGACTTTCGATGTGTCTTGCTCCGAAGCAGAATGAGAAGCCTGGGCCTGGATTGAAGCAAAACAACCCTGGAGTCCCCAAATCCTCGAGTCGAGAGTCTCGAGATGTCAGAGGAGAATTTCCCATGTTGAGATGACTACGTGACTACGTATAATAAGCCTGCTGGGCGCAGCAGGTATTCACGGGCGTTTCGAACTCCGGCATTATCTTACAGGAACACCCATACTAAACAGTGTACATCTACCGGAAGCAAACAAGAAAGTTGCTCTTGGCAAATAAGTACTGGTTCCAGCTGCTTTGCTACGTTATACCAGCCTGATGCGCAGCATGGCTTTTACAGTTGAGGGTTGCTGTGCTGAAGACATATTTGTCGCGCGCTTCGACTCTGTGCGGGAATGCGAAGATTCGTGCCGAGGAGTGCCACATGCCTCTCGCCCGTCCGAGCACTGTGCAGAGGTTTTGCAAAACAGGCCCCACGGGCGTTTCTGCTTGGCAAGGACACGACGATCTTCGAACCTAGAGTTTGGTCATTTCTTCCCAGGGACGTGTAATATCGGGATACTGCTGCGGTACTACTGTAACTAAAGGTCCTACGCCGCTTGCAGAACACCCAAAGTTGCGAATTGAGCGAATGGAAACCTGCAGTCGGGGCGAAAAAGATGTGCTCTGAGCAAGCGGGTGATCTCCGCGCCTCCCTGAGTACACGCAGCCAGCCACAGTCTTGGCACGCCTTGGGCGTCTAGTGGAACCTTGATGAAGCTCTGGCGAAACAAGGCTGCGTGCACACAGGACTAATGTCAGCTAATTGGCCTGCACGGTTCAAAGTCCCCATGAGACGGTCCTAACCTGTCTCATGTGGGCTCGCCGTCGGCGGGGAATGCAAAATGGAAAATGGGGCGAGCTACCCGGAACCACGCCTGAGCACTCCAATACAAAGGCCTACGCCCGGCAGACTTCGGATGTCAAGAAGCTCATACGACGATGCAGGTAAAGACGCATGAACACGCCCATGGACACGTGTGTACACATACAAGTAGATGCAAACATAAGGAGACATGCACATGCACAATCATGTATAGCATTTAAATGTATATGTATATAACAGGGAAATGGATACAAGTGTGTGTGTGTGTGTATATATATATACACACGTGTGTATATATACACATATCATATATATATATATAACATATATATATGTTATATTCACGTATACACATCGATATGCATGGCTAACAAAGATCACGGATCTTACGAATGAGCGGAAAGCATGCACCTATTGACAATTCACATTATCTTCATGCCGTGAGTAAAAAACATGCTCACGACCTCAGGTTGTGGCGAGCTGCGCATGTCACTACTGATGGCAACGGTTCGGCTATGGTTTGACTTTTAGTACTGCTTCTCGAATAGCAAAATATTAGTACTTACCAGTATGTCAATGATTATTGCTATTACCTGTATTTCTTCTATGCTCACTAATTACTATTTCTATCATTGCTACTGTTGTTATACAGTGTATATTTTTTACGATTATTGTTATTGGCGCTGTTCTTGTTGGAATTGTGATTCCTGCGATCATTAGTAAGGGGAGACAGCTGGACCCACCGCCACCGCTGCTCCCCTTGAGCTCTCTCCAGATGGCCCAAGCGCGCTCGGGAGCTCTCAGAAGAGCTGCAAAGACCTCCTGCCTGGGCAGCTCCTGCACGCTTTAGGATTCAAAACGTTGGGTTTGGAGTCTCGGGTTCAAGACTTAGGCGGCTTGGGGTCTAGGAATGCTTGAGTAAACGACCAGTTCGGCACGTGAAGCACGGAGGAGGGTCAACACTTTGGCAGAAAGGGGCTTCAGTGCTGTAGACTGACGTGACATCCACCCCCGGAACTGTCTCGGTGTGGGGTGGGCTTCTCATGGAACAATTTGACATCCTTTCTGCTGGCAGAAAGCAGTATTGCTTCGATGTCTATTGCACAGTTTACAAGTTGTCTCAGCGATCCTTGACTGACAGCTTGCAAAAACTCTTTGTGAAAAAACATAACCCACATGGGCAACACGTGGACATGGGGAAGTAGAGGTTCTGGCAACCATCATACTAACTACTCACTACTTACCAAGTTTGCTATCATCCAAGAATCATACCTTTAGGGTGGGAAAACCATGAATTATGTTAACCACCTTCCAACGCTGCTGGTTACCTGCATGTATGAACGGCACTACGGATACTGCTTTTTAGCAATTGCACGAAAATCATGTAGATAAGTACCTAACAGTTGGGCCACATGACAAGGGGCAAAGTTGCGAATGAGACTACTACGGACAGCTAGGAATAAGACTCCAGAATTGGGAATAATGCACAGTGACGAACAGGAAGCTATACACATGAATGACAGGAAATTGGAGCACAGCAATACATGAAGCCATACATACGAATGACGCAGCAGCTAAGCAACTTAGGTATCATTCGTGGTAAGAAACTATGGTCTACACTACAGCAATGACAATGTCAACAGCGAAGACGACGATGAGGCGGCATGGATGGGGAGTAACTGAGTAGCAATGGTGGTGTTGCTGGTGGTGGTGGTGCTGGTGCTGGTGCTGGTGCTGGTGGCGCGGCGGCGGCCGTGTCATGTGATGGCTGTCATGCTGTGAAAACAAGCGTGACGCTGATGCCGGTCATGATACTAACTAAGGAAACCCATGTCGGGGGCATCGTGTCTTGAGCGCGGTCGGTACCCTCAGCCAGCCTCCTCGTCAGTGAGGCGGTAAAATCAAGCATGTGCCTCATTGCCAAACACTACGTGGGGTTCATGGTCCCAGATAGTCACGAGGGGCATTCAGCACGAAACCCTTTCATGTTGTGTGCAGGCCTGTCTCCAAGATCAGGTTTAGAGCCCGAGAACACGAGAAGAGATATGATATACATTGTCACAAATGAATATCTATATCTATATATCTATATTATATATATATGATGTATGTATATTATAGATAGATAGATAGATAGATAGATAGATAGATAGATAGACAGTATCTATCTATCTATCTATCTATCTATCTATCTATCTATCTGAATAAATCATGTGCTTATCTACTCGTATTATACATACTTAATAAAAGACAGGTTGCTGGTGGCTTCAGGCAGCTTTTGCCTTGGCGGCTCCGGAGAGGCGCATGCGAGCCTCCAGGTTTTGGCATTGTTGCCCCCCCGGTTTAGGGTTTATTGTCTAAGAATCTATAATAATAAGAATAATTGTAATAATAATAATAATAGTAGTAGTAGTAGTAATAGCCATATTAATGATAAGGGTCCTTTAAGATTTTTTCCCCGATCTTTCTCCCAAATCTAGACATAAGGGTACTACTAAGAGCCATCCTGAGGGTCACTGAGTTGGGGCTGTTTTTAAGGTGTCTTTGCCTTTTTGTAAGCATATTGAAGAACCCTTCAGGAAGAGTGTCAGTAAGTACTCTGACATCCAATCGCGGGTACACTTTGCGACCTTTTAGGGCTCAACCATCGGGCTG